CCACCCCCACCACCGCCTCAGGCTCCTCCTCCACCACCAGCAGCGCCCGCTCCAGCCCCTGCCCAGAACTCTTATGGAGATGAGCCCGTTGCTCCACAATCACCCGGTGGATACCGTCACAGACATCGCAAAGTCTTCCGTCATAAGCACAGAAAGGTGGTCAAGAAGGTGTTCCGTCACAAGGCACGCAAAGTGGTGCGCAAGATCGCTCGACGCGCTCGTATCTAAAAAACAGTCATGTCTCTCTCTTTCGGCTTACAAATCTCTTTTCCGGGTACCTATTCATTGCCGTCTAAAGATGCTCAAATGTTCTTTCACTTTGATTCTCTTATCTCATTTCTTGATGCAAATAAAGTGTCTTTTCGTAGAATCTAGTGGATTGGACAGAAATGCAAAGTGGAAAGCTACAAAGGATGGAAAGTTACACAAACTGAACTACAAATCCAGAAAGCTAGGACTAAGCGGTATCAGTAAAATGTTTCCTGAACAAGAACAAACCACTTTTGGTACTGTGCAGTTGTACTGTTCAGCTAAGAAGTCCCCAAGTTAACTGAAGACTGAAATAAACTTTCCTATTCTACGTTTCCGACGGATTGCTGCATCAAGCCGTACCATTTGAGCGGCATAAAGATTGCTATCCACAGTCACCTTTTTGGCCAACGGCTTGTAATACATGCTCTTTCTAATAGAAAAAGATTAATAGTTGTAGCGGTGGTCAAAATGCAAAATTCGCTATTTTAGAGGATGCCTTTAAGAATTTGACAACGCACTGTAGTAAATGCCGTAATTGAAAAGAAATTTCTAGTAAAAGAAATTCTAGTGCTAAATCACACAAATTGTTATTAAAGTACCAATGCAATCACAATAAAAAATGCAGGCTGAAGAAATTTTGAAATAAAATGCCATGAAATGATTTTCGATTAGATAATAGATTCTGTATAATGATAAAAAGTCATGACCGTAAAAACAGCGTATTGTCAAATCGAACCTGGACTGTGCATGACTACACTTGGTCAATTATTGGCCAGTTTTTCAACACTATTCTGAATAAACATTTGTCGTCGAGTTGATAAAGTCGTCGATCGTTTTTTCCACGTTTTCAACATCTTTATCCAAAAAGCGATTCAAATACTTGAAAAAAATAGTACCGTATTTTCTGTAATAGTAGTGCAGTCTGTAGTAGTAGTGCAGGCTGGAGGGGGCTTGCAAAAAATAGTAGTGCGCACTACTATTACAGAAAATACGGTAATCTGAGAGGGGAATAGGTATCTCATAAGGATTTTCGAAATTCAATTTAGTTCCATTGTTTGACCGATAGGGGAGACCTAAAGAAGGCGGTCTCATGGCGGATCATGCAGCCTGCAACTTCACTAGAATCGGGTCAATATCTTTGGGTTTGGAATACGTCATTTCTATTTCTTTAACGTATTAGACGGGTTTATTTTTTGAAATTGCGCCCTTCAAATCATCCCCAGGAAAAAAATCGACTCACTGCTGGCGAATGTTCAATTGGGCAGAATCCGAGAAAGGGTCATCAAAATAGCAAGATTGATATTTAACTTTAGACTTGCTAATCGTTGACTTTTCATTTCCTTTTCTCACATGGCTCTCTTTGATCAAATCATCTTCATCTTCATCCTCAAAGTCTCATCATCACCATCAAATCTTCACGGTTTTTTTTTCCATGGACCGGAACTAAAACAATTCTGTGAATTAAATGAATTACCTAGAATTATTCTTTGTTGGACTGAACCACTTCCACAGACTTAGTTGATAACGATCCCTGGGAAATTTATGTCCACCACGACCTGGATGAATAGGAATGGGGTACGAGTGGGAAAAGACTGCTAAAAGCTCTGGATGAGTTTGTGTCAGTCACAAACTCCTCTTAGATCAAATGTGTCGAGTCGGTGGCCTTAACAAATTGGTAAAGAACTGATAGTAGACGTGTCTGTAGCCGTCGACTAGTTTCAATGGTGACAAACTCCTCTCGCATTAGTCTCAGTCAAGCCTATGATGGTCACTGGCACAACTAGAACCAGTGCCAGCTGAGTCAGTGAGTAATTAACACATCTTTCAAAAGGCAATTAAAACTAAAACCAAATATATTTGACTCAAATAAAAACAACAATGGAACAGGAAGAACGGAACGAAAGGAACATGTAGTGAAAATATTAACTGAGAAGAATTTCGAAAATCATTGATTCGCCGACAGCCCTTCAGCAATCAGGAAGGTGTTGAGAATGTTGAATCAGGAAGGCGTGTTTACTGAAAATAGAGAGGTTCATTCGGAAGGTTGCCGAATCTAGACCATGATATTCGCTTGACTGATGGTTCTCGTTTCGTTTATCAGTTCCCCCTATCAGTTCCCGTTTATCAGTTATCGTTTATCAGTTCTTCGACATCGTATCGCTCCCTCTTCCTAAATCCAAAAAGTATAACTTGAAGAAATTTCTTCATTTACCCTCATACCCCATCATCATCATCAAACACTTGTTCTTCCACATCTCGATTCACTTCTAGATTCGCCATCTCATTGTTGATTAGATCAATCTCAATCTCATGAGGAAACTAAAAGTCAACATTTAGTGCATAAATGCCATAATCAATACCGTGATCCGCTTCTCTTTGATCATTTAACATTTCTTGATGACCAGAATCTACAAAAATCGCATTTTGTCTTTCACATAGAGCTCCAATAAAAGCTCACCTTTCTAGCTCTAAGGGTTTTTCGAGCAGGGCCACAAAAAGCAACCACGGTTGCTACATTATTCCTCCTTATTTCAAAATTTAAGATTTCTGGTCGCTTTTCCTTCTACGCTGTCCTTCGGCAATTTTTGAGATCAGCCTGATACAGAAAAGTACAGACAAAAGCAGCCAAAGCCGAAAGTGTGAGAAAATCAAATTCAACACATAATTAAACGAAGATAATGTGCGGTTTGATTCGATAACCGTGGGATCCGCCATTTATCAACGGATTGGTATGTCATATAAAAAAGAAAAACATTTATTAGACAAATTAACAAATCGAAGACACAATTACTATATTGACCATCAAAGACTGAGGAAAATGAATCATATGATCAATGTTAATGACTCCCCGTAATCCTACATAGATTATGAGTGATTATTGTAAATAGATTTAATCAATCCAAGCTATTTCTTAAAACATTAAACCGAACCTTATGAAACATCCACGTATCCATGGACTATCAAATCACGAAAAGCTCCCTGGCAATGATACCCCGCGAATTCAATGTAAACATCCATTATGGTCACATCGCGCCAGACGCCAAGTGGTGTTTGTTTCTAAAAATAATCCAATCAATTAATTTATAAAAGAGTGAGCTGTGAGACAGCTGTGAGAGCACCAATACCAGCAAATTCTACGCAAACATCCATTTCACCTAATGAGTGTGAAGGTTGATTGCGTCCAGGCGGTGTCTAAAATAATCGAATCAAATTCATCGAATATAAGAAACGTTTAAACCCGTAACTTGACTTCTGGTATCAACATGTGGTAATACGAACGATTAGAAATCCTCTCCTGTCGCGGTTTTCAAGTGAATCGCCGACTTGGTTGCCCTCCTTGTTGTGGATTTTGGATCGAATGTAGAAAACGGTAGGCGACCCCGTGGTAGGTGAATTCGAAGTGGGTGACCATCACAGTAAAAGGTGCCGTGACGTCATGCAAACAAATGCGGGCTGGTCCCATCAGATATCACTAAAAATGCTATGAACGTAAAGCAATTAATAATAATAGAAGTCAGAAATTAAAGCGGTCATCAAACAAACACAATAACGACGGTGAAATTGATTTTCCCTTACAATTTAGAGCATAATCACTCAGATTTTGCGCCAAAATTGAGTTCTATTAACCAGAGCGCTGCGCCACTTAGGCATAGAAATGAAGAAAGGGTAAAATTCAAGTTGGCTTGAACGCCAACATGCGGTGTTCGGCAGCATGTCATTTTGACATATTCTATTGAAAAAAAGCAACTCTGCTAAACTTTAAAAAATCCTAGAAAAAACGAAGAAACAATGAAACAAACAATGAAATTGAAAATTTTGAAAAGATTAAGAAATTTTAAAATGCATCCTGGCCGAAATTTTCTACAGTCTCCCAGCCCAACAATTCAGCCCAACAATTGCATTATAGGTTACGGTTGCTCGCAAAAAGCGGGGGTGGGACAAATGCGACCTTTTTTTGTGCACCTGGACATTTGCGCACCTTTTTTTGCTGGAAAAGGCCTTAGGAAAGGTCGTAGAGCTTCGAAAATATGTCCATATAAGGGAATCGTATGCGTAGATTCCGAATTTCGACAAGTCAGACCTCGCTGACACGTCAAATTTGGGCTAAAAGGCAAAAACTGCGGAAAAGCGTTAAGCTTGTCCGTAGTTTTTGCCTTTTAGCCCAAATTTGACGTGTTAGCGAGGTCTGACTTGTCGAAATTCGGAATCTACGCATACGATTCCCTTATATGGAAATATTTTCGAAGCTCTACGACCTTTCCTAAGGCCTTTTCCGGCAAAAAAAGGTGCGCAAATGTCCAGATGCGCAAAAAAAGATCGCATCTGTCCCACCCCCCAAAAAGCACACTGATCTCCAAAGTTAGTCGGTCTTTCGAGTCTTTTTTCATATTACTACATTACATTTGTTACTAAGCCTGAGCCAGACGCTTTCACCTTATGACCCCTCCTGTTTTTTGGATTTCTTTTTGCCGTAAGAATCATAGATTTTTTTTGGCTAGCTTTTTTACCATATCTTTTTCGCATTTTTGAATTTGTAGATATTGATCAATTAATTTATCTCATTCAGATCTCTCGAAATGCTACCGGAACTTCTGTTCTTCAAGGATCTAGATTCTTTTGAGCTGACACCGGAATATTTGGAGATGGTCTATCTAAAGAAACCTTTTCGTTTCAACTATCCGCTCAAATCGAACAAACGGAAATACTGGGTGCAATCATTTCCCACGAGTCAGATCACGATTTCTGACATGATGTTGCAGGTAGTTTAAGTTTTACATTCAAAATTGATTATTTTAAGACTGTGGACACGACTGAAGTTTGGCAGGACGCTCTCCTGGTCAATTTGTCCGTCGACTTTGAAGATGTTGCACAGCTAGGAGTGATGGCCTTCAAATTCAAAAACATGGGAGGCTATAAACAGGTTTCTATTCCCTTGATCATGTAATCCGTCTACGCATACCCGAGAATCGAGCCGAAATTGCTTGTTTAGGTACGCCAAAATCCGAAAATCACTTCCGAAGACGAGGAATTCTCCAGTGATGGGGACGAGGAAAGCGATGAGATGGATCTCAATATGTTCGTTGTATTCGCATTCCAGGCTAGCTGATTTACATTTGAAAAACTAGCTGATAAAGGCGGAGAATTTTCAATCGATTCAAAGACTTTCTTCATTAGTCAACATTGTTCGTGACCTTTTTTTGATTATTCGTTTTGATTTTCGCTAATAGTTTTCTGTAATCAAAATACTTATTAGAGTTCTTACATCAATACATAAATCCTGATTAGCTATCCTCGTATTATTCGCCGATTTTACGTTTTTCTTTTAGTTGCATCGGAATGGGACCCAAAATCATGTTTCATGATGTTGCTACACGTTTCGAGGTCAATGCCACGTATTTTGAGCTCACCTATAACGGTGAGAAGCATCGCTTCATCCACGGCAACGTGAATCCTCCACAGCGGCGTGGAGGGCGTCAGCAGCTGACTCGCCAATTTACCACCAGGCGCGGATTGGGACGTGTACCAGCACGGTCATGTGCTCATATGCTCATCCCGGGAGTAATGTTACAGGTAGGAGATTTCTCTTTTATAAATTAAATGATTGGGTTATTTTTAGAAACAAACACCACTTGGCGTCTGGCGCGATGTGGACAATGGATGTTTACATTGAATTCGCGGGGGATGATTGCCTTGGAGCTTGTGGTGATTTGACGCGCGGTTTGATAGCCCAGGGATACGTGAATGTTTCATAAGGTTCGGTTTAATGTTTTATGAAATAGCTCGGATTGATTAAATCTATTTGCAATAATCACTCATCATCTATGTAGGATGGACCTTTTACGGGGAGTCATTAACATTGATCATATGAAGATTCATTTTCCTCAGTCTTTGATGGTCAAAATATAGCATTTGTGTCTTCGATTTTGATTTTGAGACTTCAAGCTTCATTGATTTCTTTTTCAGGACAAGCTGCCGGAGAACATGACAACAATTACTGATTCGAAATGATCAATCTTGTGTTAAAATTTCTGCCATTCTTTCCTAATAAATGTTTTTCTTTTTTTATATGGCATACCAATCGGTTGATAAATGACGGATCCGACGGTTATAGAATCAAACCGGACATTATCTTCGTTTAATTATGTGTTGAATTTGATTTTCTCACACTTTCGGCTTTGGCTGCTTTTGTCTGTACTTTTCTGTATCAGGCTGATCTCAAAAATTGCCGAAGGACAGCGTAGAAGGAAAAGCGACCAGAAATCTTAAATTTTGAAACAAGGAGGAATAATGAAGCAGCCGTGGTTACTTTTTGTTGACCTGCTCGAAAAGCCCTTAGAGCTAGAAAGGTGAGCTTTTATTGGAGCTCTATGTGAAAGACAAAATGCGATTTTTGTAGATTCTGGTCACCAAGAAATGCTAAATGATCAAAGAGAAGCGGATCACGGTATTGATTATGGCATTTATACATTAAATATTGGCTTTTAGCTCCTCATGAGATTGAGATTGATCTAATCAACAATGAGATGGCGAATCTAGAAGTGAATCGAGATGTGGAAGAACAAATGTTTGATGATGATGATGGGGTATGAGGGTAAATGAAGAAATTTCTTCAAGTTATACTTTTGGATTTAGGAAAGCTCATGAATGGAAGATGAGAGAGAGCGATGCGATGTCGAACAATGGGGGAACTGGTAAACTAAACGAGAACCATCAGCCAAGCGAATATCATGGTCTAGATTCGGCAACCTTCCGAATGAACGTCTCTATTTTCAGCAGACACGCCACCTTCCTGATTGCTGAAGGGCTCTCGACGAATCAATAATGTAATGTACTTATGTATGTGCTTATGTACTTATGTACTTATGTACTTATGTATGTACTTGAGCCCATGGGTTTTAATTACAGTATTTACGGTAACCTATTATCCATCTTTTTTATCTCATCAATCAGGTGAATCAATGTTTATGATGAAGATTGCATTTTGCAGCTCTGTATACCGAGTGGATTCAGGTTGGGTTCCTGTAAAAAGTTTATTTGCAATGATTTTATTTGCAAAAGACTCATTGATCGTCGTCTCCTGGTTGCCTTTTGCAGTTTTGATGGGAGAAATCGATGAGGAAACCCATCACAAACATTTATCTCGATTCTCTGAGACAAAGGAGTTCGTTACCACCAATTCATTTTCACTTTTAACTTATTCAATTTCGATTTATGAATAGCATAAGATGGATTCTCTTTTGTCAATTGTAAAGCCCTTTGAAGCCCGCTTGGAGCGACAGCATTTCAATTCACCCAAGCAGCCATCAAAACAATGGAGAAGGAATTTCTTTGTGAATAGGGGCTTGACGGGATGGATTTTGGTGCTGGAAATGAAAAGCGTTTCCCTTCTAAACTTATCACTTGCCCATTGTTCCTTGTTTTAAGAATAGCTTTGTGTCCTCCCATCTGGTGATAACCCAGTGAAGTTCGATAAAGCCAATTATTAGGGTTGTGCTTTGAATTTAAATATAATAGGGTGTAGTGAGATGAATGAATCGAATACAGTGTAAGAAGCTGTTGAAAACGTCGAATGCTGTTGTGTCGAATACATAAGAATGTCTCTGTTCAACTCTGTTTTTATCGAAAACCAGGGTTCGAGCTTTATTTATTAAAGTATTCTCTAGTGACCGTAAAAATAGTCTTTGTCGATTCCCATTCCGCACTCCTTGCTTCCACTCAAATCCCATTGACTCATCAGGGAACTCGTCCAACCGGCGAAGGTTAAAGAATCCTGAAAATGGTAACAATAAACTGGACTAATATCTTCAAGTAATTGAGTGATTTTTCCAAATGAGGCCAAGGCCATCTTATGGCGTTTTGCATTGCTTTGTATTTCTAGCAATTTCTAGCAAATGCTTTGTATAGTTATACAAATTGAGTTGCTAAGTAAAGATCCCAAAGAAACGACAAGATATTCAATTACCCTCCGCCCACAAACCGTGCTGGCAGAATTGATAGCCCATAGCGGCTTATGCGAATATGTCAAAACATTTCCCGTGATAGTGTTCCAGTTCCCTTTTCTCGTATAGATCCCCCAATTGGGATAATATGTCTAAAGCTTTGAATTTTATCAAATTTATCGAACACACATCAAGTGCGCTAGCGAATGAGGCGATAGTTTGGAGATTCGTCGGGATATCCTTTGGCCAAGGTGCACGCGGGTTGCTAAAACTGGGAATGAAGCAAATAAAGTGTGACGGATCCTTGTTTATTTTATCCGCGCACTTCGAAAAGAAACTCGATTTCGATAACTTTATCGAAATCGAATCGAAAAGGTGAGGATCAGAGACATTTGATTAAATCCACCGCTCTTTATGATAATTTGCGGATAGAATAAACGAGCGACAAACGCCTACACTTCAACATCAAGCCAAACGATGCCATGGAAATTAGGAACAGCTGACATTAGTGCACTGATGGCCAACTTGACCTGTAATTATGGTAGAACAGTTTTTGACTCTTATGTCAATACACTGCGGTGCAAAAGTCTTGTCTCACTAAGAAAATTTGTATTTTCTCTTTGCCTTTGTTTGTTCTTATGAATTTTTTGTATTATATTTTTATAATACATTACACTAGTACGGGCATTTACATAGTAAAAGATGAAGTCTTTTACTATGTAAAATTCTACGTCTACTAAAAGCCTACGTCTACTAAAAGTCTACTAAAAAACTTTTTACTTAAAAAGTTGTTTTCGAAAATTTTTAGAAATTTGACAAAATGCTTCAGAAAAGTAAGTGGGACAAGACTTTTGCACCACAGTTTAGTACAACAAACAGACAGTGTAGTACAACAAACAGGGTGGCCAAAAATTACGGCTACACCTTTTCAGCAGATTGCATGCCAGCTAAAAATGGAAGCGTGCCGAAGACTGATCGGATTGGGTTCATTTGAGGGTTTGAAAAATCGGCTCCAAAACTCCAATCAATGATCTTTTGATAGAGAAATGTAGGCAAGAATTCAGGTTTCAATTCTCTCTCTCTATAACACTTAGAGTTTTTGAAGTGATTGCGGTGTTCGGCATGCAATCTGCTGAAAAGGTGTAGCCGTAATTTTGGCCCATCCTGTAAAATCACATCTGAAAGCTCTTCTCAAACCTTTATCTACCCAATTTACCTGAGTTTGAGCATCACATTTAATACAAGGGTAAATATATGCATCAGCCCAGAAGCCAGCTGTAAATTTCCCCAATTTTTTGCGATACTTTTTAAAGTTTCTACATTGTAGAGCCGTTCTGACATTTGAGACTCCGGTTGGATTGACGCTTCCGTTCGACGAGAACGAGATGTGACCGATAAAGAACTCGTAGCCATTCTTTGCCATACATTCAAAGTCACTAGGCTTGATTATCTAGAAATTTTTCGTAATACGCAAAAGTCTTTTTTTTTAAATGACTTGAAATGCTAAATCAAAACCAAGCGTTGGGGTTGGGGCACAGGGTAGAGTGAAGTCCCAAACAGTGCCCGTTGTGTGCTCGCAGTTTGGTTCCACGTCGACACGAAGTTCCATCGATTTACCTACAAGAATCGCTGGTTTCTATGTTTCTTTCTTTTAGAATTAACCGTTATAATTGAGCATGATCATCTTATTTCCTTCAGTGCCAACACAATCGCTATCGAATATGTTTTTACCATCATAGCTTACACGGACCACATCCTTTATATGATAAGTGTCGTATATGAATTTGAGGCCTTGAGCGGACGTGGAGCTCATCCTGTATCGTCGGCTCACAGGTGTATCACTGCCGGCCACTTGTTGTCCATCGCATTGTGTGCAAGATACAGCACAAGGAGAGCTCGCATCCGTGTCACATTGAGATCCACATGCAACAGGGAGATCATTATTGAAGTTGGCTGGCGAACCAGAAATGTCACTAGAATACATTATAACTTTATTTTCTATTTAAATACCTCTCAATATAGTATGGAGTCCATGAGACACTCGAGCAAGTTCCATCGGCACTGTTTGAGCACATCGCGTCGGCTATTCGTATTTCTAACTTGTAAACGAGGGTGTTATCGGGCAGCCTTCCAAGTAAAGCAACACCCGAGCTCGAATCGATCGAAAGATTCAATGGGATCACGTTTATCGATTTCGAGTCACCAAATCGAACCCCGACTGCCCCATCGTCACCAACATATGGTAGTCGAACAAAGAAATAACTCAAACGACCCTCCTCAGCTATCAGTGATGAATTGTCAACACGAAGACCAAACGAATTGAGCATTGCAATGTCCACCAGAAGAGGAGCTTTAGTCAGATTTCCCGATTTCAGCGAGTCTACCGCTATCTGATAGCTTCCGTTGGGAAATATCGAACCATCACTGAGAATATCGTCTAACGATTGGGAACTCGTCTCTTCGGGCTTGTGTTTCTTTCTCAGCACTAATACGAGAGTGACTATAACGGCGATTATGATGAGAACGACAGCTAGAATAACGACTCCAATCCAAACTCTTTTCTTGTTCATTCTTGGCTAATGAAATGGAGAAAAAGCAAGTTTGAGGTAGGCAAGGCTTTTTTTTTTCTCTGTTGGCTATTAGTGATAAGACTTTATGCACTCGAATGACTATCAAAGCTAGCAATTAAGGTTTTCCTCAAAGAAAAAACTTTTTTTTGATAAGAGCGGCTTCAAATTAGAAATTTGTCGCATGTCGCTGTCGCACGCATTTTTATAGAAATATACAAAGCTAGCATTTGTATTTGTATGTCGTCAATGTCTAATTAAACTAAAACTTTGTATGATTTAGCTAACTAGTAGCATTAGTTTTTTTTAAAGTCACTAATTTCTGTTAAAGTGTACGCAAAACGCGAAAAAAAAGTGCTAGATCTAAAACACGGATCGTATCAAAGAGGAAGATGTATAGGAAACACGTCTAGTCGAAATCAAGTTACAGTCTTTCAATAGAAAATTCTCGGAGGCGACAAATCTAGAGAATATTCAAGATTGATTGAAAAACTTTTACTTAGAAAGATTTTACTGATACCGTTTAGTTCTAGCTTTCTGGATTTGTAGTTCAGTTTGTGTAACTTTTCATCCTTTGTAGCTTTCCACTATTTCATTTCTGTCCAATTCACTCAATTCTACGAAAAGACACTTTATTTGCATCAAGAAATGAGATAAGAGAATCAAACTGAAAAAAACATTTGAGCATCTTTAGACGGCAATGTATAAGTACCCGGAAAAGAGATTTGTAAGGCGAAAGAGAGAGAAATGACCGTTTTTTAGATACGAGCGCGTCGAGCGATCTTGCGCACCACTTTGCGAGCCTTGTGACGGAACACCTTCTTGGCCACCTTTCTGTGCTTATGACGGAAGACTTTGCGATGTCTGTGACGGTATCCACCGGATGATTGTGGAGCAACGGGCTCATCTCCATAAGAGTTCTGGGCAGGGGCTGGAGCGGGCGCTGCTGGTGGTGGAGGAGGAGCCTGAGGCGGTGGTGGGGGTGGAGGAGGAGCAGGCATGGGTGGTGGAGGAGCTGGAGCTGGTGGGGCAGCAGCGGGTCCCTGGGAGTAGCCAGTTGGAGCTGGTGGTGGTGGTGGAGGAGCTTGAGGTGGTGGTGGTGGTGGAGGAGGAGCCTGAGGAGCAGGTGGAGAGTAGGCTGGTGGAGGAGGTGGTGGAGGAGGTGGTGGTGGTGGTGGAGGAGGCGCCTGGGGAGCTGGTGGAGCGTAGCTTGGAGGAGGAGCCTGTGGCGGTGGTGGTGGAGGAGGTGGTGGAGGTGGTGGAGGGGCTTGAGGAGCTGGTGGAGCGTAACTAGGAGGAGGAGCCTGAGGTGGTGGCGGTGGTGGTGGAGGCGGTGGGGGCGCCTGAGGAGCTGGTGGAGCGTAGCTTGGTGGAGGTGGGGCCTGAGGGGCCGAATATCCTTGAGGAGCCATTGGTGGTGGAGGTGGAGGAGGTGCTTGAGGGGCAGTCGCATAGCCACCGCCGCCGCCGCCTAAAGATTTTGTTTAAGGTTTTTAAACGTACATTTTATTACAGTATGAGACTTGAGTCTTACCGTATGATTGAGGTGCTACTTGGGGTGCTCCGCCATATTGAGGCGCTCCGCCAAATCCACCGGACTGCGCATATTGGCTGAAAGTTGGAGATAAAGATGTTTTTCTAGATCACTTAAAGGAGATACTTTCAAGTTCTACACTACAGTAAACTATGCTACAGTAAGCTAGCTTAGTCATGCTGGATATTAAAACCCTATAGTACAAGAAAGCATGAGTTACAAGCTTTGAAAAGACCGACCAGTTGGCGCTCAAAAGCAATGCAGCGATAAACCCGACTCGGTACATGTCGAGATGCTCGAGTGATCTCTCCACCCACCACGAACTCTTTTATACTTAAACAAGACCCAGCAAATGACATGTTTTCCCCAAAAACTCACTCAATTTTCTCAGCTCTCACTAAGTGAAGAAAGGGAAAAGTTTTTGACCAAAAGAGTTTTCCCTTTCTCTTCTCTTTGAAGAACACGTTTTTCTCTAGGTTTTCTCTCAATTTTTGAATTTCTCAGCGATATTTGCTTGATCCGAAATCCAGAAATTTCGCGTTTTTGCATGAGATTTTTGGATGTGATAAGCTTTCATCCCATTTCTCGAGTTTTCCAGACCTGAGAATTGAAAACTTGGAACCGATCTGGCCAGGGAATGGTGTTGACTCAAAGTGTCCTTTCGGAATAAAGGACGAAAGATTTTATAGATTGCTGCCACGTGTGATTGCTGCCATTTTTTTTTGTTATTTTGTTTGTTATCATTTAAATGATGTCAAAATGCTTATTGTAAGGTAAAATAGAGCGAATTCGAGCGGTTAAACAGCAAAATAAAATGAAAACAAAAGAAAGGGATCGAACGCGAGCAAAAACGTGATAGCTCGTTGATTAGTTGATAAAAACAAGACTCTTATCCACTGCACCGCAGACTCAATTTCCAGGAAAGAAGTGTTGGACATCCGTGCGGAATAAGGCAAAAAAAAAGTCGTTTTCTATAGGTTTTTTACGTTTGAATAGCCATTCGACGTTTACAGTAATCCAAATCGAATTTCACGGAGGAAACTGACCGATTACTTATCTCAAGCCAAAACTCGTCACCCCAGTTCCATCAGATATTGCTGTCTATCGAAGTCAAGTTCGAAAAAATATTGATATGGTTATTATAGACTTATGATGATAAAAAAAGCTTTAGATTTAGTTTAATAATCTATTATATAATGATTGTTTTCGCAATTTTCCTTTTCAGAACAAGAGTTTGCTGATAGATGCGCGGAAAAACAGAAAGACATTCGTGTATCTCTCTTTTCAGGCTGAGTTTGGAAGATAGCCGGTAGCGTACCGCACTTATTTGCATCAGCTCGTCAAAGTTCCGATATGTCTTGTTCCCGTCGTAGATGTTGCACCACCCCACCACCACCTCTGGCTCCTCCTCCTAGCTACGCTCCACCAGCTCCCCAGGCGCCTCCTCCTATTCCACAATTCATTCTAGAAATTTGTTCTAGAATTTAAAGCTTTAAAGCTTGAAATCAGCTGCTCAATATATTTAAAGTTTTTCAATCAATCTTGAATATTCTCTAGATTTGTCGCCTCCGAGAATTTTCTATTGAAAGACTGTAACTTGATTTCGACTAGACGTGTTTCCTATACATCTTCCTCTTTGATACGATCCGTGTTTTAGATCTAGCACTTTTTTTTCGCGTTTTACGTACACTTTAACAGAAATTAGTGACTTTAAAAAAAACTAATGCTACTAGTTAGCTAAATCATACAAAGTTTTAGTTTAATTAGACATTGACGACACACAAATACAAATGCTAGCTTTGTATATTTCTATAAAAATGCGTGCGACAGCGACATGCGACAAATTTCTAATTTGAAGCCGCTCTTATCAAAAAAAAGTTTTTTCTTTGAGGAAAACCTTAATTGCTAGCTTTGATAGTCATTCGAGTGCATAAAGTCTTATCACTAATAGCCAACAGAGAAAAAAAAAGCCTTGCCTACCTCAAACTTGCTTTTTCTCCATTTCATTAGCCGAGAATGAACAAGAAAAGAGTTTGGATTGGAGTCGCGATTCTAGCTGTCGTTCTCATCATAATCGCCGTTATAGTCACTCTCGTATTAGTGCTGAGAAAGAAACACAAGCTCGAAGAGACGAGTTCCCAATCATTAGACTCACAAAATATCATTACATAAGTTACCAAGTCAGGATACTTCAAATAAGGATAATTGTCTTGTTTTAAAGTTTTTCATGTGTTTTTTAGCAATGCTGTCTATATTTATAGATATCTATACTTTTTATTCTATTTGCCAGCTAGAGTAGGACGAAATTTTGATGTTTATAAGAACTTTACCAGAATTCCCTATGATTGGTCTTTCCGATTATTTCTAAATGGCGGACAATTGTTGATTGATCAGATTGGAGATGTTTGGCAAGCTCTCGTGTTGTTTGCATTGGATCGGCTTCAATAAGTTGTTCAAATTCACCAGATTATTCACCAGATTCGTCTCCTTAAAGACGCGCTCTCAATGGCGAACCAAACGCTCCGAAAATCCGGTCTCCCGGCGGTTAAATTTTCCGAAATCTCGACTTAAGCATAGTCTTTTTATAAAAATTCTTGTAATTTTGATATTTTTGTGTTTATGTGATAAATGGCTTGGCTTCCAATTAAATGAAATTTTATTACGGAGACTTGCAAAGATTGATGAAACATTTCATCCACTCCGCGCAATCAGAGTCGCTTTTGCAGAACTTCTGAAAATGCACATTTAAAACGTTTCCATATATTAGGGTGGTGCAAAAGAAACTGTCGATGGGTATCAGCTCTCATTTATCAGAAATGAGCGATGCTAACGGCATTATTTTTTTAATGTTTTGTTCGCATATTTGTTTGCTATTTATTTTGACATTTGAATTTTTTGGTTGTTGTTTATTTTATTTAAAAATGCTTATATTTTTTATTTAGATCATGGTGGAGCAAAAGTTTGTGCTACGGGCAGCATTACTGTTTAACTTCAATTGGAATTGGAAAGTCTGCTGCCGAATCGCATCGTTTTCTCTGTGCTGCTTTCGGAGATGGCAGTTTGTCTCTCAGGCAGTGTCTCTCTACGGGCACGGTTCGAGGCCAGAAGTCGTGAACGAAGCCAAGCTGAGGGACGTTATTCAGGCTGATTCATGCCAATCTGCTCGAGATCTTGCGAAAATATTCCATTTGTGCTACGAGCAGCATTACTGTTTAACTTCAAAATTGGAAAGTCTGCTGCCGAATCGCATCGTTGTCTCTGTGCTGCTTTCGGAGATGGCAGTTTGTCTCTCAGGCAGGGTCAGACTTGGTTTCAACGATTCCGAGACGGAGATGAGACTTTGGAAGATTACGAGCACGGTTCGAGGCCAGAAGTCGTGAACGAAGCCAAGCTGAGGGACGTTATTCAGGCCGATCCATGCCAATCTGCTCGAGATCTTGAGAAAATATTCCATTGTGATCATGTCGCCATCGAATGCCATCTTTTTTTTTTGAATTTACCGTCAAATCGGCAGTTTCTTTTGCGCCACCCTAATAGTAATTAGCTATAAAACTAGAAATTGAAAAGTTACATTTTCACAAAACGCTGGAAGACACGCAATTGGGCGAATTGGATTCGTGGGGCATGGAGCTCTACCGCAAAACTGCGTCTTATCACACTCGGCGTCAGTGTCGCATCTTTGAAAAGTTCTCTAGAATTTCAAGATTACTTGCGGTTCAAAACTGGGATAAAGCGTAAATTTACCTGTGCCACTAGAGTTGTTGGACCCAGCAAAACCAAGACAAAGATTAATAGTTTAGTAAACATTTTGAAAAATGATTCACCTCAATCAAGGAGAACTAAAACATGACCTTGATAATGACAATTAGCTGGAACGATTGATTTCCTACTAAATTTCATATAAACAAGTACTTTTTGAGATTTTATTATTCACATTTAAAAGACAAATGTAAATTTTCAAGATTTATTTGTCAAATAAAAAGATTTGTTCCATTTCTTTCATTTCCCACTTCTTCATTCGAATGAGTTTTTCTTTTAAACTCCAAAAAGAACGCTAACAAAGTCAACATGACAGAGAACGTCTAAATAAAAGTAATTAAGAAAAAAGATTTGAAACGCTTTATCGAAGTACTTTGAAATAAATCTAGTTATGAATTATTGGGTTGGTGAATTGAAAACTGCCGAGCTATTGTCTTATGTGACTGTTTGAGGACTTTCTTCAAAAGAAACCCATTTTGGTGTCAATGGAAAAGTTGTAGAGAATCAAAAATGAAACTTATATCCAAATTTTTAGAACCATTCAAAAACTGGTTTTCAAGAAATGCCAAATTTACGAATTTCCACAAAACTTGCATTTTAAGCGAAACTACTAAGTGTATCTTTTTGGAAATTTGGCTATCAGCCTAATTTTTGATTCTCTACAACTTTTCTATTGACACCAAAATGGGTTTCTTTTGGAGAAAGTGCTCAAACTGGGCTGACAGCTGACATCTCCAGTCCTCCATTTTTGAGTCTCACACTTGTCTCACACACAAACAAAAATCCTACCACGAAATCCTATCCGCAAATTGCCTGTAAAATGGGCAGAAGTCGTCAATAATAAAGGAAATTATTTGGAATGAATTTATGGTTTTATGTTCAATAAATTTTAGTTCAAAGTCTCGCAGTTTTCAATTCACCAACCATGCTCTACATTGAGATTTTTCGATTCAAGATCTTTTCTCTGACAAAGATGAATTAGAAACGATATCAAAGTCATTTGTCTTGGACAAACCGTTAAAATGAAAGGCTTCGAAACAAGCGCGAATCCCCACAACGAGATGCCGAGATCCGATTGATCGAAATGCATTGCTAGAGTTCGCGCCAAGCGATTCACCTAAAATTTTCGATTTTCCACAATTCTCAACAAAAAGATGGCAGTACTTAAGAAAAGCTAGACTTTAACTTAAAATGACTCACCTCTGAGTCGTGCGGTACCCAAATTGCCTCATTTGCGCACAAAATCGGCTTGGCTTTGTAGAGCTGAAAGAGCTAATAGAGAGTTAAAGAGAACTAATAGAGAGAGCATTCAAAACTGCTGTAATCAAGCCACCAAGCACTCGATCAGCCAAATTTTGATATCATTCAATGAGAAAAGGCTCAATGATACGGAAATTGAGCTGATCGAATGGAAATGATTGAATGGATCGAGCTGGCAGTTGGATTACGGTAGGATTACGGTAGGATTAAGATAGTATCATTGATAAGAGACCAATGAGTTTGAACTAACTTCCCCTTGCATCCTTGCTGGGACGACGGTGAGTCCCAAATATGTATAAGTGTAGATAATAGCTCCGGGAATCGCGTGCAATATCTAGTTTTCATTTGAAAGTCTTTAATTCGTTCTCACATCTCCCCATCGGTCTCTTGTCAACAAACGAATGAAGAGAAACATGAAAGTCGGCACATTTGTACAAATCATCAGAAATGAGTACACCTAGATATTGCTTTTATTTGGTACTCTTCGTGTTTTGATGTAAACCAATGCTTGTAAACCAAGGCTGTAAAACAAGGCTTGTAAACCAAGGCTTGTAGACCAAGGCTTTAAACCAAGGCTGTAAAAACAAGGCTTGTAAACCAAGGCTTGTAAACAAAGGCTGTAAACAAAGGCTTGTAAACCAAGGCTTGTAAACCAAGGCTGTAAACCAAGGCTTGTAAGCCAAGCCTAAGTCTTAATTAAGGTTTAATCTATTTATGATTTGGTTTGATCTATAGCTACTCGTGCTATTCCATGTCTAAAATCGACTATATTCTCTAGAATCTCTATATTCTCTAGATTCTCCATATTTACAGTATTTTGTATTAGTGAATTCCAAATCTCACTGTGAACACTTTATCCACACATCGAAGCGTTCTCGAGAGACGAGTGTGCTTTACCAAAAGCACCTCCAGTTCAACCTTCATCTTTGCGCGATCCTCAAAGTTGAGCTGAATTTGAGCTGAATTTGAGTTGAATTTGAGCTGAATTTGAGCTGAATTTGAGCTTCTTTGAGATCTTTCTAAAGATCTTTCTAAACAAACCTTTTTCAAAAGCCAATTATACGTTTTTCCTTCCCAATAAAGAGCATTTGTAAAGCACATGTAATAATGCATGGAAACTGTTTGAGTTGAACCATTCAAATAACTTGCAAATGATCTAATCACAACAAGCGCACCATCCATATAAACCTACATTTAAAGTGTTCAGTATTTTTGTACATGTACATCAAAATTGTACATGATCAGAGCCAGTGTAGGCATAAGTGATGTTGATGAAGAATTTGGTGATAATCAAAAAGATCAGATAGATCGGGATGAGGAAAGCAATCGATGAATAGATCGCTTTTATCGTTCGCTGGCTTCGAAGGCGCTCCTAAATAGAGATAGAGATAGAGATAGAGATAGAGATAGAGATAGAGATAGAGATAGAGATAGAGATAGAGATAGAGATAGAGATAGAGATAGAGATAGAGATAGAGATAGAGATAGAGATAGAGATAGAGATAGAGATAGAGATAGAGATAGAGAAAGAGATAGAGATAGAGATAGAGATAGAGAAAGAGATAGAGAAAGAGATGTTGATAGAGATATTGATAGAGAAATCTCTATTGATAGAGAAATTTGGGCCAAATCAAACAAAGCTAGACAAGACCAGAGTTTGATTTAGCTTTTGACTTTGTTTGTCTAGTTTTAGCATGCCTATTCTTGTCTAAATGCCTTGTCTAAATGTCTAAATCTCTTTAAAGAAAGAGTAAAGATCGAATTCTCATCAATTCTCATCAATTCTCATCAATTCACCTTTCGAAAAACATGAACACTCAAATCGGCTTGTTCAAAGCGCTCGAAAATCGCATCAAAAGCATTTGAACGTTGCCAATAATGGATGAAAATCTGTGAAATTTGATTTGAAATGATTTTCTTATCTTTTCTTATCTACGTTTATTGAAAATCTTTTCAAAATCACACTTGTGAGATAAGCGTTTGGATATTCCACATGATGAACACGATTCCTGTCGGAGTGACTGTGTTCTCGATCTCGTGCTTCTCGATTACGATCCGAATATCGACGAGTAAAACGTAGAGACCTAAAGATTCCTTTTATAAATTGATCGGATCCGATTTTGATCAGATCCGATCCATCATTTCTACCTAAACAGAAATAAAAGAAAGCCATTAGAGTGCTCTTGAGTTGACGAAGAATATGATCGCTTTTGTGGAGACGAACACCGATAAAACGAAGACCCTGGAAGATGAATTAAAAGGGAATTAACACGTTGACGACAATGGCGTTTTTGCACAAACAATCGCATGGGACAACGTTGTTTTTTTTCGACAAAAAATGTCACCTGACATCAGGTGACAATGTCCCAGGCGAACGAATATGTGTCAGACAGCATCAGGTGACAATGTCGTCAACGTGTTAAAAAGAGAAATATGATTGTTTTGCATTTTGCATTAAAATCTAATTATCAATCATCGAAATCGATAAAGTTTCATCGATTTTTCAAAGTTTTTCTTTGTTGAAATCAATAATGTAAATCGATTTTTTGTGATAATCGATCAGGGATTAAGTGATGAAATCACCTCTTTTAGGATTTAAAACTCATTTCAAACCTTTCAGACCTTTCAAATCTTTCAAACCTTGAATATCTTAGCTGATTTTTGATTTAGAAAGTATTTATCTTAAGAAGAATCAAATTAAAGGCAAGATTTCATAAATTTGAGCATAAAGAAAGTCCAAAAAGCGGCAAAGATCACTTAAAAAAGAAATTCAACTGAAAAATTTCAGAAATCTAGCTCTGGCTTGGTCAAGATCTACAGTACCAGTTTCTAACGTTGTTGAGTTACAGTAATAGAGACGGTTGAATTCCAATGAGGTCCAGGATCTGTAAGCCTCGGTCTTGAGCCGGGACTAACAGTAAGATCAAGGCCAGGAACAAGATTAAGACTAGGGCTAGGGCCAGAATCAGAGCCAAAACCAGAGCCAGAACCAGAGCCAGGGCCAGAACTAGAGCCAGAACTATAGCCAGGGCCAGGACCAGCGCTAGGGCCAGATAATCGATCAGGGATTAAGTGATGAAATCACCTCTTTCAGGATTTAAAACTCATTTCAAACCTTTTAAACCTTTCAGACCTTTCAAACCTTGAATATCTTAGCTGATTTTTGATTTAGAAAGTATTTATCTTAAGAAGAATCAAATTAAAGGCAAAATTTCTCATAAATTTGAGCATAAGAGTCTAAAAAGCGGCAAAGATCACTTAAAAAAGAAATTCAGCTGAAAAATTTCAGAAATCTTCAGAAGAAACCTTTCAAAACCTTTCAAAGCGATCGTCACTTTCGCGCGTCTGTAACTCCCTTGTCTTTGAGTGTAAACTATTAGTGCTATACATTTTCTGAAAGCTCTTTTCCAGGGCTACACAATGGTAATATTAATATTTAGAAATACGGTAAACACAAGGGAGTTACAGACGCGCCAAAGTGATGATCTTTTTTCAAATATCATATTTCATTGTCCAGTAGTGTAGATAACAAGCCATATTATCACTTACAAAAGTAAAATATTTAAAGAATCGTCTCAGCTCTTCGGTGTGCTGCTTTTCGTTGGGAATTGTGCTTTGAGTGAGAGCTGTCACCTGCAATACGATTCGAAACTTGTTTACAACTCTTTTTCTTACTTACATATGAAAATTTTCGATGTCCGATTGTCATTTGTTTAGAATTTGTTTAGAATTTGATTAATAATAATTGCTAATAAGATTTTCATTTAAATTTGAATCCTTTTAAAGGAAATTTGAGCCTTTTCAACAATTGCAGTTCAATAAGATCAACAATTGCCTTTCAATTGCCTTTCAATGATATCAACAATTGCCTTTCCATTGCCTTTCATTGAGATCAACAATTGCCTTTCAATTCCCTTTCAAATAGATCAAAAATTTTCTCAAGAGGTTCCCTTTTCATTCAAGTATATTCAATAAGACAAAAAGCTTTATTTAGCAATTGAAATTAAAAAAACAAGAGCAATGAATAGATGCAAAATAGATAGATCAAAGTAATTCATAAAATTATTTTTTAAAAAATCATTTACAAGCTGATAGAGTTGATAAAATCACGAGAAAAACTTCAAAATTGCAAAAATTAACTTAACTTAACAAAGTTTATGTGATGTGGTCACAGCTTTGCTCGTTTGTGAATGCGAGTGTTCTAGAGAAATCCCGTAAGTGTGCTCTGGGTGAATCACTCGATCTCGACAGTAGAAAAGCTTGTAAACTCGCTGAAGAACTCGCTTCTGAATACTGCGATTCAAGAAGAGATAAACGAGCGCCGGCGTGCCTGAAGAAAGCTTTAGAACTCAGAAATCATCATTTTCATTGTAATACTACTGTTCTTTTATTAGCTTTTAAAAGCTACCATGCATCAACTGCCAACTGGCGTGCCCAATATGCATTAAAGTCATCGTTGGAGGGATGAAAGCCATCGAAGCCCAGATTCCCGTAGTTAACATTGTGAAGAAACAGACGATCACTGCTTGGATCATTATCTGAAATTGTACCAATAAGATTACAAAAGACTAGAACCAGGGCAGAACCTAGGTCCTGATCCTGAGCCTGATCCAGATTCTGATCCTAGTTCTGTTCCTGACCCTGACCCTAGCGCTGGTCCTGGCCCTGGCTATAGTTCTGGCTCTAGTTCTGGTCCTGGCTCTGGTTTGGCTCTGATTCTGGCCCTAGCCCTGGTCTTAATCTTGTTCCTGACCTTGATCTTACTGTTAGTCTAGACCGAGGCGTACAGATCCTGGACCTCATTGGAATTCAACCGACTCTATTACTGTAACTCAACAACGTTAGAAACTGGTACTGCAGATCTTGACCAAGTCAGAGCTAGATGTAGATTTGTACTGTAGTTAATAACTTTTAGAATGCTTAGATTTTGAACCTTTTTCTGTGTAGCCGATTGTCCTTTAATATCGTATCCCCGAGTCTTGACAGCATGCAAAATGCAGATTCCTAGGTAACAGAAAAAGATCCCCATGGCGACAATGAAGTTGGAAATGGTTTGGTAGATCGAAATGTACTGAAAAGGTTGTACTTTAGGATTTTGAGCTCATCTTTACGGTACCACTAATTTTTCCTTTCCTGGGATGAATGGGTGATAGATCCATGTACCATAATTGGCATTGAAGAGAATCGGTGGAGGGATTATCGCGTAGAAAATCCCGTAGACAATTGAGATGGCTACAAAGAACCAAGTGCGATTGTCCTAAAAGGAAAAGTTTGGTAATGAAGCTGGGCAATGAAGCTGGGCAATGAAGCTGGGTAATGAAGCTGGGTAATGAAGCTGGGTAATGAAGCTGGGCAATGAAGCTTTGACAATGAAGCTTTGACAATGAAGCTTTGACAATGAAGCTTTAGCAATCCACAATTGATTTCATGACTTTTTACTTCAAATCCGTGCAAAACTAGTGCACAGAATTGTATTGGAAAAAAGAATTTCATCATTTTAAACTTTTTTGTTGTCAAATTGACTCACTTTAAAGAAAAACTCGGCCACGTGCGGTTTCCAAAAGTCGACGAAACGATTGATGACAAGGAAGAGACAAAGAGCACAACACGAGTTGAAAACGCCTGCAAATGAATGGTTTTTTCTTGAAACGTTGTGTTTTGTTTAGATTCGTTTAGTTTCCAGTTTAGCTTACCATTTGTCACACTTCCAGCCACGTATTGAAACCTTGGGAACATGCAGTACTCGGCGCCAATCGCGTAGAAGTATCCAGCCATGTCACAGCTCAAAATGATGCAAAGAGTGTCCATGATGCCTAAAAGGGACATCAAAAATGAAAGCTGGAAAGCCTGGATGGAAAGTAAAGCTGGAAAGCTGGAAGCTGAATGGAAGCTGGAGCTGGAAGCTGGACTGGAAGCTGGAGGGGTGGAGCTGGAGCTGGAAGTGGAAGCTGGGAAGCTGGAATGGAAAGCTGGAAGCTGGAAACTGGAGCTGGAAGCTGGAGCTGGAGGCTGGAAGCTGGAAGCTGGAAAGCTGGAAAGCTGGAGAGCTAGATGTTTTTTACAATTTTTACAAAATAGATCGAACAACTCACCCAAAACCAACATCAACTTATAGCAAGACATTTGACGAAACTCTTTTGTTCCAATCACTGACAGAGTCAAGAGGTAGGCAAGCTGAAAACGAAGTAGAACGGTTACAAGGTAGAACGGAACGGTAGAGATTCATTATCTAACCATTGTTTCTTTAAATAAGGCGAATTAAAACCAATTTTCACTACATTTAAACCATTTTTTTTCTTACCTGAACAAGTATTCCTGAAATTAAATAAATCCCTCCCAACAACGGATTTTTCTCGTTTCTTTTTGCCATCTCTGCATAGCTGAGTGTCACATTTCTAAATAGAAAAGGAAAACTTTCTTCAATATCTTCAAAATACTTTCTTCAATATCTAATTTAGCTTTTCAAGCTAAAAAAACTTACAAACAACTGTACTTTGGATTGCCGGCTAGTGAGCCGTATCTAAAGTAGCCTTCCATCAACTAAAATTACATAAAGATTATAGAAATATAGAGAATTTCGAAAAAAAAATGAATTGAATTGAATTGAATTGAATTGAAAACTTGAATTTTTGATTGAATTCTTGGATTTCTTTCAAAACTAGACAACTCTCTGGAGATTTATCACGAAAAAACCATCTCCAAGGAATTTCTTTTTGAACTAACTGAATTCTGATCTTTTAATTGAATTCATGACTATGTTTTGCGGGATTTTTAGTGAATTTTTAGTGAATCACTCATTTGTGACGCTGCCTAAACAATATTATCATATTACTTAAGAAAATGAACACTTAAAAGTTTTAATATTTCATTTGTTTTTTGTTTTTTTTTTCAAAAACAATTAGAAACGGGTTTTGCGGAAGAAATAATGATTGAATTTGTCGAAAAGTCTTTCAGCAGTTCTTTCTAAGAATCAAAGTGAATGAGAACAAAAAGAACAAAGTTTTATTGTTAAATATTGGCTAGATTCTAATATAGATTTCTTTTATGATAGGAAAAACATAGGGAAAACGTTAACTCAAGATTTTTGGAAGTTATTTTTTTAAAACCTGTTCACTTCACCGTAATCTTCTCTTTTTTTATCTAATCTATTTATTTTTTTATATCAAAATAAGATAAAAAGTGAATAGATTAGATAAAAAGAAATAAGATTACGGTAAAAAGAAAAGGAAACTTTTTAGACTTACAAATAAATATCTAAGCAAGTCACTCTTTTAAACACAAAACCAATTCAATTCTACAAGCTGGAGTTACGGAGGTGCCTGAATGCTTTATCTACAGATATTCTACAAATCTTTCACGTAATTTACCACATTTTCTACATTATTTAAAAGCTTAAAGTCTTTTTAAATATAGAAATCAATAAAATTGACTTGAGAACTTTTTCTTTTGATTTATGCTCGTCGACTCTGGTACTGCTGCTGTTTTTGGCTAAATACTTCAATAAAATTTATAGGTTTTCGGTTTCTAATCATTAATATAGTTGTAGTTTTGCTATTTTTTGCGGGATTTTTAGTGAATCACTCATTTGTGACGTTGCCTAAACAATTTTATCATATTACTTAAGAAAATGAACACTTCAACTCAATCAATCCTTACAAAAGAAAGTTCTGCGGCTAGATGTTCTTATTTTAAACATTTGGAAGTAAAAACTGGTAGTATTGTAATTCTTTAACTGTCAGAACAAGTGTAAGAAGTTTTGTGAGTCTACAAGCTGGTAGAGAGTTATGGAGGTGCCTGAATGCTTTATCTACAGATATTCTACAAATCTTTCACGTAATTTACCATATTTTCTATATTATTTAAAAGCTTAAAGTCTTTTTAAATATAGAAATCAATAAAATTGACTTGAGAACTTTTCTTTTTGCGTTGAGTTGATTTATGCTTGTCGACTCTGGTACTGCTGCTGTTTTTGGCTAAATACTTCAATAAAATTTATAGGTTTTCGTTTTCTAATCTTTAATATAGTTGTATTTGAATGTAAATTCAAATTTCAAAAGTTATTGTTGACAATTCTTTAAAAAAAAAAATTCTTATGGGTTTATCGAAGCGTATCGTTGTTAAAAATTTCAAAAATAGTTGATTTCAGGAATTTTATATTTAAAATTTTTATGCTTTTACTTTAGTAAACTCTAAACAAAAAAATAAACTTGATTCCTTCTTTGGAATTCGTAAAAATTGACTTAAAATTGACTAAAAACAGCAGCAGCCTTAGGCAGGGTCAGAGTCGACAAGCATAAACCAACTCAACACAAAAAGAAAAAGTTCTCAAGTCAATTTTATTGATTTCTTTATTAAAAAAAGACTTTAAGCTTTTAAATAATGTAGAAAATGTAGTAAATTAAGTGAAAGATTTGTAGAATATCTGTAGATAAAGCATTCAGGCACCTCCGTAACTCCAGCTTGTAGAATTGAATTGGTTTTGTGTTTAAAAGAGTTCTTTGTTTAGATATTTATTTGTAAATCTAAAACGTTTCCTTCTCTTTTTACCGTAATCTTATTTCTTTTTATCTAATCTATTCACTTTTTATCTCATTCTGATATAAAAATAAATAGATTAGATAAAAAAGAGAAGATTACGGTGAAGTGGAAATGTTTTAAAAACATAACTTGTAAAAATCTTGAGTTAACGTTTTCCCTATGTTTTTCCTATCATAAAAGAAATCTATATTAGAATCTAGCCAATATTTAACAATAAAACTTTGTTCTTTTTGTTCTCATTCACTTTGATTCTTAGAAAGAACTGCTGAAAGACTTTTCGACAAATTCAAACATTATTTCTTCCGGAAAAACCGTTTCTAAAATAGAAAAACAAATGAAATATTAAAACTTCGACTAATTGAATTGCTCAAAAATTGATCTTGATCTCAAATTGTGCTCAAATTGAAAGCTCTTAAGAGATTTGAGAGTTATAAAAAGCTTAACAAAAGATTTTTCTAGTAGAAAATGATTTTATGATTAAAAAGAATGAAACATTGTGCTTTATTTAAAGTTTTATTGACAGCTAAAACCAGTTTTATTGATCAGTAAATCAAACTAGCTTTAAAAAAACCTTTTACCCCACTTTTATCCCACTTTTATACCCTTTTCAAATACAATAACTACAAAATAAAGCAACAAGAAAAACTTTGTTGCATTGTTTCTCAAAAGATCTTAATTAAATTCACATAAAAGGATTCTTTTAATGAAATATTTTACATTTTCTTTTTACAAGATTAATCTAATTGAAGAAAAATGTAAAAAAAAGAGAGAAAAAAGAGGATAGAGAACAATGAAATGGTTTGACTTTGAGCTAGCTTCAAACCAGGGCCTACAATTAGACTTGGACCTATGAAAAGAGAGAAAAAAGAGGATAGAGAACAATGAAATGGTTTGACTTTAAGCTCATTTTCAAGCCAAAAGCCTAGATAAACATAGAAAAATGATAGGATAATGTAAAATTGTGTAAAATGCAATCTTTTAATTGTTTTTCAAGTTCTTTTAGATAAGTAAAGAGATTGTTTAGACGATTAGACTAGATTTATAGTTGAAGATTAATAAGGTTCCTTTCATATTGGACTCAATTGAATGGAAGGAACCTTATTCGAACCATATTGGAACCATATTGGAATTGAAAGCGAACTCAGATTGACTCTAAAGTATGGCTTTAAAGCACTGCCAACTCAATTCGCTCTGTAAGAGTCAAAGAATCAATCTCGTACTTCTCTTACAATCAGTTAAGCTGGCAAAAGTACCGAAACCTTTTTTAAAAAGCTCTGCTAAACAAATAACTCAATATATGAGCACTTTTTAGTGTCATTTAGATTCTGTAAAGAAATATTCTTTGCATACTTTGTACTCTTCACTCAAGAAACGTTATTGCTTGTTTCGAGATATCTGATCTCACTTGAACGAGATATAAGACATGTTATAAGACGTTTTATTCAATAGCCGACTGACGCGGAATTTTTTGGGCTCTCACTTCAGCAATTTCCACACAAAATCGACAATTTGAATTGAAAGCGACGATAAAAACAGAAACAATTTCGTCCTAATCAAGACAACGGCGCAATTCGCCATAACTTTTTTTTTAAGTCGGCCAATCTTTATGCTTTTGGTGTCATTTTGTAGATCTCAATAAGTGCAACAAAATGAAACCAAAAACATAAAGATTGCTCCACTTGGAAAAAAGTTATGGCGACGCAAGCGATCCAGTTGCGCAAAAAAAATGCGGAAACTAGCCTACCCCCAAAAAACATCAAATAAACAACAGCTATAGGCTTTAGCACAAGATATTCAGCTAACGAGCTACAAAACAATAAATGATTTGGGGAAAGAATAGAATGAAGACGCACGGATTTCCGCAATACTTTTCCAAGTTTTTAGGCTCTCAGAGTTTGGTAACTTTTTCGTGGCTATTCGCCACAGCAACAGTAACAGTAACAGTAATAGCAACAGCAACAACAACAGCAACAACAACAGCAGCAACAGCAGCAGCAACAGCAGTAGCAGCAGCAACAACAACAACAACAACAGCAATCATTAGAGGACCTCATTAGAGGTTGAAAAACAAAGGACGAAAGGAAAAGATTTAAAACTTAAGATTCTTTTTCAAAAATACATTGTTATACAAGTTTAATCCTTAAAATCTAATCCTTAAGTCCTTCTTAAATGCTTTTTTCGGATTTCCGCAATACTTTTCCAATTTTTTAGGCTCTCAGAGTTTGGTAACTTCCAGGCTTTTCAGAAAACTCAACAAACACAATCCTATTGTGAAAATGAAAGAAAAAACATTAATAATATAAATTTCAGAATAAAATACAAAACATTTTACTCAAATAAATCCCATTTTCAACGTTTTATTTCGATTTTTCAACAAATGAACCTCTAGGGAATGATTAAAGAAACAAAAACATAAGAAAATAAACTTTTGCAAAGCTTTTTACAAGAAAATTTAAGTCAAAAATGTTCTAAACCTGTGAAAAACTAGACTGAAAAAGAAAATTAAATAAAAAAAAGTAAAAAAAAGATTCTTAAAAGCACAAAAAACCAACCTGTCTATCATCAAAATGTTCCCGGTTCATTCAAAAACAAATTTTCATTCATTTCACTTGATTAAGAAGAAGAAATTTAGTTTCTATCTAGTTTAAGAGCTTTGAAAGCTTTGAATGTTTAACCTTACAACAGACGGATGTTAGAATATTTGTTTTTAAAGGTTTTCACTTCTCCATCAACTCCTTCTCTTTCTATCATAGCTCTGCTTCATAGCTTCATAGCTCTGCTCAGAACTGAGCTATGAAATGATCAGCTATTAGCTGAGCAAGCATCAAATCCCCATTTTCCTATTTTTAACAATTTTAACAATAACAATGAACGTAAAACAATCAATTCAATATATATTCACCATTATTCTCAATGACCTTTCTCCATTTTTACTTTAAATCTTCGAGTCCCTTGTCAAAGAAAGCGCGCGGCTGCGAGTCGAAATATTATGTCATCTA